TTGGTTTTTGTTTGTTTTTTGCTTTTTTGGGTCATATCCAGCTGTAGGATAACATTGCTTCGTCCTTCCTCCCTTGCCATAAGGAACTCAGGTTTATGACAGTGCTCCTGCAGCACTTCCATTCCATTGTGCTTATCTGTAAACTCTTCCCTATGCTCTCCTCCCCAAACAGTTAATCAGATCTGTTCTCCCCCCTAATCAATATCTGTTCATTTATAAGGTAAGATCCTTCTAGGACACTGAAATTGTATTGTAAGTTAATATGGCCTTTCTCCTCTCCTTATGTCTTTTGCATAGTTTACTTTAAAGCAATGTCCTTTTTGTATAGATATAGGAAGATCGTTAATATCATTAATTATAATATTTAATTATAATATTGTTATAATTATAATAATATTAAATTATTAATATTATTGTTGTTCATTATTAATGTTATTGTTGTAATATAATATCATTGATAATTAATAAAATAAATTATATTATTATAATTATAATATTGTTATGATATTATGTGACTTAGGATTTAATCAGCTTTGAATATTATTCACTCCTGGGCATGTGCTTTCTCAACTTTAGCCTCAGTTGCCCTTGGTCCCTAGCACCCCAAAAGCAGGGTCCCGACGAGGGACTGAACGGACCCAGGGCAAGCGGTGAGCTACCCTGGCATCGAAATGGGCTAGGCCAAAGTGCCACGATTCTTAACTATAAGTTAAGAGTTTGATCATAGACAAATGCTGTCATGATCCAAAAGTAACGACGAGACTAGGATCCTGCCAGGGGTAGGAAAGACTATCTGACCTGAGCACTGTAGTCTGAGATCGAGATGGCCCTAGGAGAGCAATTCTATAAATTTAAGGTATTTCTTACTGTATCCATACAAAATGATTTATATTATGAATGCTTATATGTTTGTTGGACAAGGAGACGAGAAACACACCCATGGGATTCCGCTCTAGGGTGGGTCGTCCTGCTGAGAGAGCGTCTGTCCTAGAAGCGGCTTTCACCGAGGGAAAGAATTCTACCCCTATTGATTGTGACCGCACCTATGTGTAATTGTTAGCCCAACCCCTCATGCTTTGGGATTTAACTGTATCGTAAGAGTGGGCTGGGGGATCAGAATCCAGAGCAAGAGGAGAAAGGGAATCGGGATCAGTATCCAGATTCCAGAGTCAGAAGGAGGATGAAGAGGGATTGAGAAGGAGAATGAAGTAGCATGGGGGAGGAAGAAGCAGGAGGAGAGGCAGAGGAGAGAGAGATAGGAATGAATGGAGAGAGGATTAAAATAAATAAACTGCAACAAGCCTGGCCCTCGCAATATACAGGGGGTTACTCCTGGCGATGCTCAGGGGACCATACGGGATGATCAGAATCAAACTCAGGTTGACTGCACTCAAGGCCCTACCCGCTGTGCTATTGCTCCAGCCCCTCCAAATAGTTTCTTTTTCCTTTTTTTTCTCCCCTTTGAGTGCCAGGGATTGAACCTAAGCCTTCCACAGGCAAATGTATGCTTGGGCCTATTCAGCCATCTCCTTCTTCCCCACTCCCAACACATTATTCTTATATTCTGGGACAAAAAAAATCATTCAGAAAACCCTTTTCCACAAAATTTCTCATCAATCACCTCCAGTTTTACCCATTCAAATTCCTGCCTATTCAGAAAAATCATAAGCAAGCATATATATCAGTTGAGATCATATCTGAAACCATAACTGCTTCTAGGGGAAAAAAAATCAGATGCAATGCTCCCAAGGGCAACTGCACTACCCCCTTCTCTAATATCTTCCACAGATGCTATTATGTGGTACACAATCATTGCCATTCATTTCTAATCGTGCTATTATGACTAGGGACAGTAGTAGGAGTAGTTATATATATATATATTATATGTAGGCTATATATATATATACTCTATATATTGTAACTTCAGAGAGAGAGAGAGAGAACTTATAAGGTCATTGATCCTCTATTTTTTGTGTCATATGAATATGTATTCTCTATGTGAAACTTATATAACATAACATGCAGCCGCAACTCAGATACATATGTCAGAAAGGACACGCAGGTGGCTTCCAGGCGCTGGACACTCTATCATAAAAAGGGGAAGAAATGTTAGGGCAGACAATTAAAGAGGCTGTTAAGCCATGAGTAGGGTTTGAAAGGACCAAGGGAAATTATATTTGATGTGGATATTACAAAACATTGTTCTAAACGGTGCTACATCTGGACCCAATTAGAGAAATTAGATAGCCTTTCATTTGGAGTCACTTAAAATGATTATCTCAGTCAAACAAAACCTGAAATGGAAGCTTGGAAATTTTTTACCTTTTACCTAAAAGAGGCAGCATTTTGAAATTATAGAGAATCAATGCAGACTTGCTGTTCTCTTGAAAATGGACAATTGAAATGGCAGATGACAGTTCTTCTTTCTGGCTCAAATTGAAGTTTAAAATAGGATATAGTGAGATGGGAAGGTGGGTTGGCCATAAAAGCCTTCCATGCAAGAGACCTGGGTCCCACACCCAGACTAGGAAAAAAATGGGGGTTAGGGGGAAAGTGGATGAGGAAATAGAAAACATCAGCGATTCTTTAGAGGAACTTTAAACTGGCCTTTGTGGGGCCAGAAAGACAGTACAGTGGGTTGGGCGTTTGCCTTGCACACAGCTGACCCGGATTCGATCTTGGGCATCCCATATGGTCCCCAGAACACCGCCAAGACTTAATTCCTGAGTGCAGAGCCAGGAGTAACCCCTGAGTGTCACCGGGTCACAAAAAGCCCCCACCCGGAGTGGGGGGGGGGTGAAAAAAAACTGGCTTTTGTTTTAGAAAAGAAACTACCTAAACGTCCTCAAATTCCTTTGCCTTCACTGGACTCCAAAGGTCCTCATACATCATATATTTCTTTTTAGATAGCGACAAAGCAACGGAGTATCCTAATTCAAACCCGGTCATTAGCACTTCTCGACTGAAAATTACATCCTTCAAATCCCCATCTCCAATAACATTTTAAGAAATAATAAAGCTCGGGATCAGAGTGATAGTTAGGGCACTGGCCTTGCGTGCAGCCGACCCGAGTTCAGTCCCATATGGTGCCCCGAGCGCAGAGCAAGGAGTAAGCCCTGAGCACTGCTGGGTGTGACCCCCAAATCAAAATAAATTAACTTAAAATGATATTATTTAAAACAATAATAAAGCTCGTTCCCTAAAGGAATCAAAACACAGGATAAGAAAGGACCGCTAGAGGCACAACCCAGCCAATAATTATCTATTAAGTGTGAGCGCGGCTCTAGGCGGCAGGAGGCGGGACCGACCGGCAGGAGGCGGGACCAACCGGTCGCACCAACCCCCGCGAGGCAGCCTGGGCGGCAGCCAATCAAAAACAAGAAGGAAATGTAGCGTGTCGCCCGTAGATGCAAACAGCCCGCGCGGCCTCTGCCCAGTCTGGGTCCAGGTCGCCCCTTTATCCCAGTTGGGGATCCGAGAATGTTCAAATTTGCTTCAAGCCTAAGACTTCTCCTCCCATTCGTTACCTAACCTTAATAGCGATCGGGGGAGCCCACATCAATTCAGCAAGTTTCCCAACAACACAAAGCTCTAAGGATTATTTACCCAGGAGTTTCCACGGGTCAGGCAACGTTACTTCTGCCTGAAGTACTTCTCGAGTTTGCCACCGACGGTAAAATTCTAAATTTAGTATAGTTGAATGACTGCCCTGCTTCTCAGGGTAATCATAGCAAGTTGAAAGGAGTTAAGGCAAATAAACGTCATCAGCTCTCTTCATGAGATTTATGGGTGGCTCTTAAAAGAGCCGTTAAGATCAACTTTTGCAGCCAAACTCACTTATTTAGCGCTGGTGTACTTGGTGACGGCCTTGGTGCCCTCGGACACGGCGTGCTTGGCCAGCTCCCCGGGCAGCAGCAGGCGCACGGCCGTCTGGATCTCCCGCGACGTGATGGTCGAGCGCTTGTTGTAGTGCGCCAGGCGGGACGCCTCGCCGGCGATGCGCTCGAAGATGTCGTTGACGAACGAGTTCATGATGCCCATGGCCTTGGACGAGATGCCCGTGTCGGGGTGCACCTGCTTCAGCACCTTGTACACGTAGATGGAGTAACTTTCCTTGCGACTGCGCTTGCGCTTCTTGCCGTCCTTCTTCTGCGCCTTGGTCACCGCCTTCTTGGACCCCTTTTTGGGGGCGGGAGCGGACTTGGCGGGCTCAGGCATGGTTTTGAAGCAGAGGAGATGACAGACAAATTCTGCGACACAAACAGGACAGCGTTTATATAGAACGTCTTATGCAGATAAGGTGATTGAAATTCTGCGTCTGATTGGTTGATTAGCATGATTACGTCATAGATGCCTTTGTCCAATCAGAATGTAAGAGCCCCCAAGTTCTTGTCCCCATTGGCTAGGATGAAACGCAAATGTAACCAGTGACACATCTTGTTTTCCGCGCCGAAAAAGGTTTATAAAACCTGCAGCTTTGGCTTTCTGCTCCAGTACCTACCTTCGGAGCTCGTCATGTCTGGACGCGGCAAGCAAGGCGGCAAGGCTCGTGCCAAGGCCAAGACCCGCTCGTCGCGGGCAGGCCTGCAGTTCCCCGTGGGCCGAGTGCACCGGCTGCTCCGCAAGGGCAACTACTCGGAGCGGGTGGGCGCCGGCGCCCCGGTCTACCTGGCGGCCGTGCTCGAGTACCTGACGGCCGAGATCCTGGAGCTGGCGGGCAACGCGGCCCGCGACAACAAGAAGACGCGCATCATCCCGCGCCACCTGCAGCTGGCCATCCGCAACGACGAGGAGCTCAACAAGCTGCTGGGCAAAGTCACCATCGCCCAGGGCGGCGTCCTGCCCAACATCCAGGCCGTGCTGCTGCCCAAGAAGACCGAGAGCCACCACAAGGCCAAGGGCAAGTAATGTATCTAAATCCACCGGAACTTTAAATACTCCAAACCCAAAAGGCTCTTTTCAGAGCCACCCACATTTTCTGCAAAAGAACTTAACACTTCATGCTCATTGGCTCAAAAAGTGTAAAAGTGAGTTTTGCTGGAAAATCGCAGATTCCCCAACTAGCAAAAACTAAAGCGTCATAGAGTGTAAAAATTAACTGCAAGGACCAGTGGAAAGGGGTTAGTCTCAATCCTTTGCAGGGAATAACAAGCATTAGGGTCGGTTTTTCTTTTTAAACTTCTCCCACGGGGAGTCCCTACATCCTGTTTCTGAAGTAAACTGATTTTCCCTTAGCTCGATTTTAGCCGAACCGCTTGGGTAAACAGCGCGCCGGCCACGGTCGGCGTCAAGAAGCCGCACCGCTACCGGCCCGGCACCGTGGCGCTGCGCGAGATCCGCCGCTACCAGAAGTCCACCGAGCTGCTCATCCGCAAGCTGCCGTTCCAGCGGCTGGTGCGCGAGATCGCGCAGGACTTCAAGACCGACCTGCGCTTCCAGAGCTCGGCCGTCATGGCGCTGCAGGAGGCCTGCGAGGCCTACCTGGTGGGGCTCTTCGAGGACACCAACCTCTGCGCCATCCACGCCAAGCGCGTCACCATCATGCCCAAGGACGTTAATTCTCCAGATCAGCAATTTCAGACCCGAGGCTGTCCCAAACACCTTGTCTCCAAGTGCTATGAGGCACTCCCTCTGCTACCCTCATTATGACACAGTTATCATTTATCTGTAGGTGTGACACCACTCTGGAGCCCTGAGCATGGAATAGGCACGCGCCTACAATCTGAAGGTGTTACCTATGGAGCACCTGAGCAAGTAGCTCTACCTCACAATCCTTAAACCTAGTTAGGCTTTGAGGAGATTTTTTGCAACAATGGTTGTGCAGTGTTACGCTCAAGGGTAAAATGGCCGCTCTTCATTTTGCTTTCACTGTAAACTCTTACACCTCTGGCTCACAGAATTAGAAGAATGTATATAATTCCACAAAAAGGTTCTTTTGGATGTTGAAGGAACCGGTGTGGCCTCCTGATGGGCTATATGTGACACTGCCGATAACAGGTAACCAAATGAGTACACTGCTCATAGTTGCAGGCTCTACCTTCTACTTTGTCCACTTCTGAATGCTTTGAACTGGTGTTGGCATTTGTGGAAAACTGAGGATAACATTTCAAGTTTTGGAGGCGAAAAATATAGTTACCACAGTACCTTTGGGAGGTGCTCCTAAGCAGTGCTCAATAAATGATGGGACCATTTAGGCCCAGCTGATCACAGCCAGTGATAGTTGGAAGCCTCCAGAGGCAGTCAGCAGTGCCTGTGAGACTAGGGCCTCCAGGCCTACAACCTGTAAGCTGCAGTAGATTCCTTACTTTATTTTGTCTCTCACTCAATTCTCCCAGCTACCAGGCCAGTTTCAGAAAGGGGAAACGTTCTAGACAGTGGAACTGAAAGGGTTGTGAGCAAGCTTCCCAGGACGTGCTACCTTGGAGTGCAGATCACCTTAAACCTCCAGGCCCTGCAGTCTCAAGAAAAACTTTGACCACTTTACCTTTTATTTATATAATGATTATTTTGAAAAGAGGACTCTAGAGCCCCCAGGAAATATTCCTTAGTACTGGAGCGATAGCACAGCCGGTAGGGCGTTTGCCTTGCAAGCAGCCAACATGGCCGACCCGAGTTCGATTCCTCCGCCCCTCTAGGAGAGCCTGGCAAGCTACCGAGAGTATTCGATATGCCAGACACAGTAACAACAAAGTCTCCAATGGAGACGTTACTGGGCCTGCTCGAGCAAATCGACGATCAACGGGAGGGTCTTTACCTTTACCTTTTACTGTAAGTAGAGTAGCAAAGGACCTATTTACCATCAAGATTGCTTGCATGTGATTGTGAGTTGTCAAAGAAATTCTGTAAGACAAAAAAGAAAGAGAAGCTTCAGGGAGGATTAAGCTTCTGATTTTCACGTTGTAGTTGCACTACCACTAACTTGTAGAATTAAGCTATGCTAGATAACCCCCACTCTAAAATATTGAAATCTACTCCTCTGGCTGAATGTTTTGTTTCTTCAAATAACTTTCTGCTGCAGTCTAAATACGGATAAATCTTGAAATATTTTAAATAATTTCTTCTTTATTTTATGAAGGAAGTTTAAGTAAATATTTTGACAATACTGTACTGAAGCCGTGCCATAGTTGCTCATTTAAAAAAACAAAAAAATAAATAAACCAAGAAGATCTCTTTTTTTTTTTTTTAATTTTTGGGTCATACCCGGCGATGCACAGGGGTTACTCCTGGCTCTGCACTCAGGAATTACTCCTGGCGGTGCTCAGGGGACCATATGGGATGCTGGGGATCAAACCCGGGTTGGCCATGTGCAAGGCAAACGCCCTACCTGCTGTGCTATCACTTCAGCCTAAAGCAAGACTTTTTTTTTTTTTTTTTCATTTTAAAACTTGTATTTAAGAGCCAGAAACATAATACAATAGGTATCACATTTGACTTGCCCGTAGCCAACTCCGGGTTTTTTTTTTATTTTTTTAATTAGTGAAACACCATGAGGTACAATTGTAGACTTACAAATTTTTGTGCTTGGGTTTCAGTTATACAATGATCCAGTACCCATCCCTCCACGAGTGCCCATGACAGCTACTGCTAAAAGTGATTCACACTTTGAGAAATTTAGAAAATTCTATATATCCTTAGAGATTAAATATATACTACCAAAAAAAAAATGCTGCAGGTTTGTTATTCCAGGGAGGCAGAGAAAGGGGTAGAATGCTGAGTGATTTGGGGGTACTCATTGGCCAAAGAGGAGGGACATTTTAGTGTTACGGCCTGATGTCTCCAGTCTGCTCCCTCAGTACCAGAAGTAGGAAGACTACTTTGGGGGTGTTCTAGGGCATAATCATTCTTCGATACAAGTATACTTTCCAGTTTATTTGCACCTCATACTTTAAAAAAAAAAAACTGCTCTTTTAATGCAAACTTAATTTTTTAAATTATGTTATCTAGACCAAAAACTCTAGAGTGAGAAACATTTAAACACCTGACTTGAAAGAAAACCTTAGTATTTTTCCAAGGATAACAAAATGCCTAATAAGTGCATAGGTTTAACAGCTTGAAGAAAATACTAAAAGTTTTTCTCTCTTGCAATTAGTTAAAATAACTTGTAATGTCAAGGATAATGAGTGATAACCAAAAATTATTTTAAAAAATAAATAAATAAAGTGGAGGTGGGGACTTCCTGCCATATAGTAACTTTTTTTTTAATTACAAATCCTAATACTTCTGCAGTACATTCTGTTGCACCTTGATGTGGGCAGGTAGGTTAGGATGCCCCCCCCCCCCCATCATAGCAGTGAAATTTCTGCAAAGAAATAAAGCCCTGGGGTGAGTCTTAAGGCTGACCCACCTTGTGGATACAGAAAGCTAGACTTGATTAAGACTCTCCAACAGCAGACCCTAAGGATACTGGACCCCTCCCTATGTAAAGGGCCTGAAGAAAATTACTCAAGACCCTTCAATTCCTTTCTTTAATCTAATTAACCCTTAAGACTCAGCTAGTCCAGACCAGAGAAGGCTGCACCCACCCTCTGAGAAAAGATCCAGCAGAAACAAAGGTCAAGAAAAGGAGTTTTCAGTGAGGATCATCAACCACCCCTAATTATATCCTCTTGGCAACTACCCTAGGAACGGACTCTTACCTAGCTAGAAAACCCCACATGCGGTGGCTTGGGGAAAACCCCATAAATGCCACCTTGAACAAAGGAAGGGTGAGCATATGCTGCCTGAGCCCACGTGCTGCTTGTGACTACGTGGTCAAGGACATGTATTCGAGCACAGGTCGCCTGCATCTCCCCTCTTGAGATATGGACTTTCATGCTTTCGTATCTAATGCTGGGGTGTGTGTAGGGGCTCTCTCTGCCTTCGGAGAGGCCGGTGTTCTCTCTTAAGCATGTCACTCTGTTTCACTCTCTCCTTCCCCTTCCTAAAACCCTCCAAATAAAATCTGTTTTCCTTCACTGATAATTTACTCCTGAAATTCTTTTCTGCAAGGCAAGGAGCTGGTAACCCTAGGTAAGGCCTCGTCTGACTTTCCTTTCCTGCAAAGAGCAATTATTCACTCTAACCTGAGTCTGTGGCTCCCCAAGAAGTTGGGTGGCGGGGATCAACTCCCATGCCGAGAAAACCAAAGGGACATCAGATGTGGCTTGACAGCCACCTGGTGGGCTGGCAGTGGTGGGCGGGGGTGCTCTGGCCTCTGGAGCACTAGGGCTCATTGCAGACTTTCTCAGTCCTAACCTTCTCAGGCAGCCTGGGTGCCAGAGGCAGATCAGGAGAAATTGACTCTGTCTCTCTCCTCTCTGCCTCACTTCAGCCACTCATCCATAGATTGGCTTCAACTGTTCAGGTTGTCTCGACAAATATTACAGATGTTCGTCGATTGCCTCGAGCAAGCCCCAGTAACGTCTCCTTCGTCCTAGCCCTGAGATTTTTTAAAAAGTGCCATATTCTAGGCTCTTTCAGGATTAGGAGAATGAGACCCATCATTGTTACTGGTATTTGGCATATTGGGTACGCCACGGGGAGTTTGCCAGACTCTGCCGTGTGGGCAGGTTACATTCGGTAGCCTGCCAGTTTGTCCAAAGTAAGAATGAGATAATAAGATGTCCGGAGCTGGGTTTTATAGTCTCTGGGTCTTGGCGGTTGATGGGATTACACGGCGCCAAGGGGCCAGTTGGTGGGTGTGACCCCTGCCTACTGGAAAATGGAGGATCTGGGTGGAGGATGCTCAGCCCTGATCCGAGCAGGATTGGAGATCTCAGCCCTGGGACCCGCATGCCTTTGTTCCTCTGCTGGTACCTTCATGCGTGTGGAGAGTGGTCTCAGCATGGTGGTGGCTGGTTCTGGAGGCCTTCGGCTGCTGGAACCCTGGTCGGGGCGGGGAGGGAAACTCAACCCGCTCCCCTCCAAGGGGCCCCAGCGAGGACAGCCAGGCGCGGGGGGCAGGACACTCTGAGCTGTTCTCTCCCGGGAGCTGGGTTACAGATGGCTAGGGTGAAAATGAGCACAAGGAGGGAAGGTGGTCTCTAGGAGAGTGGGTAGTAGAGAGATTAAGGCATTTGCCTTGTACACCACTGACTCCGGTTCAATCCCCCTGAACCCACCAGGAGTGATACCTGAGCACAGCTGAGTATGTCCCCTACCCTACCCCAAATTAATAGACTGTTTTCACCTCTGTGCTTGACCCACCTCTGCCATGGGATAAGGCCTGGCATGAAAGTCGGCTATGAGCACCAGTGTGGCATAGACACTGGAGTCCCACCAGCCCCACAACCCCACAAGGCAACTGCCAGGCTACGCTGGTCTGCAGGGCATGGGAACTGAAAACCCACCTTCTGGGACTCAGCCTGGAACAAGGAATTGCTGTATGCAGGAAAAGTCGCTCCAACGCGACCTCTCCTGGCAGCAATAAGTTACAGAGCAAGAGAAGTTCAAGCGTCCAAGGGCATATTTTATAACACAGAACAGGTTGAAACGCAGGCCCAGGCTTCAGCTGGGAGGATCAGCATCATGTGCCCTAAATGTCAGTCCAGTTTATAGATTTTCCCAAACTGTCCTGCCAAGTTCTCAGAACACAGAAAAATTATTAGGGTGCTGTCATAGGCAAAAGTCGTGGACTCTAGGAGGTCTTTTCATATTCTTATGTCCTTTAGATTAACCCTTAGCTTCTCCTTTTCTGAGGGGTCCTGAGTGCTGCAAGGTGGCTCATTTTCTCCTACTCTGAAGAGCTGAATCTTCCCATCTCAAAGGGACCTGATCTTCAGTGCCTGCGACCTGGCTAGGCTCTTTCTTGGGTTTCTTTCTCACCAACTCTCTTCCCACCCCACCTCCCACTGATCCAGACAATACAAACTTAAATGAAGCATTCAGCATATGATAAAAACCACAAATGAGTTCTTTTCATTTAGATTTAGAAAGATGTTCCTCCAACTCTATAATTTATAGACTTTCTTTATCCCCTTAAAGGTCTGTAGAGTCTCCCTCCACCCAGCTTTCAGAGGTCCTATGAACCAATTGCTCATGTCAGAAATATTGGAGGGAAGGGTGTCACCAGATTTTGTTCCCCCAATATGTTGTACTTATTAGTAAGTAAGTAAGTAAGTAAAGGTCCTCCCGTTGTTCATCGATTTGCTCGAGCGGGCCCAGTAACGTCTCCATTGGAGATTTTGTTGTTACTGTGTTTGGCATATCGAATACATCACGGGTGGCTTGCCAGGCTCTGCCGTGTGGGCGAGATACTCTCAGTAGCTTGCCGGGCTCTACTGAGAGTATTTCGCCCACATGGCAGAGCTTGGCAAGCTACCCGTGACTTATTAGTAGTAAATTAATTTTTTAAAAAAATAAGTTTTCTCTACAAGAAATCACACTTGCATTAGAGTATCATCTCATTTTTTTAAAGTATTAATAGAAAAAAGTAACTAAAGTTAAAATCCTAGATATAGACTTTTATATAGCTTTGCCCATTATTGGTAAGAGCTAATGGAACTGCTTTTGAAAATTAAAATTGGCCTTCCTTAAGAAAAGAACTTAGGTAGAATTCTAGGACCAGAACCATAGTACAGCTGGTAGGATGGCCAATTTGGATTCAGTCACTGCCATCCCATAAGACCTCCGGAGCGCTGCCTGGAGGAATTCCTGAATGCAGAGCCAGGAGTAATACCTGAGCACAGACAGGGATTTTTATGTGGGGAGAAGTGCCTGGATTAACTAACTCAAAAACTGCTTCAATCAGCAGATGAAGAAGCCATTACTGAATTTTTAGATGAGAGTCTTAAATCAACAAAATAAGTTTTTATTTTGATTATTATCGGTTTTTAGTTTGGTTTATTACTATATATAAATGAAATAGTAAAAAAGGCATACACATCAAGAAAAAAAGAACTTATTTTCCCAAAAGACCTTAAAACCCAACATTTTATTACCGTATCTTGTGTTTTTAGAAGTTAATACGTGGGCTTTACTTTTCCCATGTACTAAGGTGAAAAAACGTTTCAGAATAAGTGCTTTCACGGAAAATAGATGCAGCAATAAAAATCTTAAGAATCTTATTTGATACCTCTTCTGATTTAGTAAAGTTTCCCGGTTTAAGGAGGATGGGGCGTGGAAAATTATTGGGGGAAAAAAAAAAAAAGGAGTGGAGTCTGAAAACTCAAAAAAAAAAGCAGGAAGACCAAAAGCGGCGGGAGCCTCCGGCCCGCGCCGCGCTCAGGCCCCGCCCCCTTCCCCTCCCCCACAGAGGGCGGTTTCCACTCTGGTCCGCCAGGGCTGCTTATAAGGAGGAGCCGCGGCCGGCTGCAGCACTTCACTCCTATATTCTCTCTCATCATGTCTGGTCGCGGTAAAGGCGGGAAGGGCTTGGGCAAAGGCGGCGCCAAGCGCCACCGCAAGGTGCTGCGCGACAACATCCAGGGCATCACCAAGCCCGCCATCCGCCGCCTGGCCCGGCGCGGCGGCGTCAAGCGCATCTCGGGGCTCATCTACGAGGAGACCCGCGGGGTGCTCAAGGTCTTCCTGGAGAACGTCATCCGCGACGCCGTCACCTACACCGAGCACGCCAAGCGCAAGACCGTCACGGCCATGGACGTGGTCTACGCGCTCAAGCGCCAGGGCCGCACCCTCTACGGCTTCGGCGGCTAAGCAGACCGCGATCTGATCCACCCAAAGCAAAGACAAAAAAGGCCCTTTTTAGGGCCCCCCACGCTTTCATCAAAAGAGCTTGTGACAATTGTGCTCGGTATGGTTCAGGAAAACTGCTCAGGGAAACCGTTGGTTGCTGACTAGCTAAGAGCAGCTACTCTAAACGGAATTTAGGTGAAGCTATTATTTAACTGACCATGTAGTGCGGCAATCACAGACCCCTTACTTAAAGTCAGTAGCATATTGTCGGTTTAAAAACTGTTTAATCTCCATTTGTGTAAGACATCTAAATGTTTAGCTGAGTACAAAGCTGGTTTAATGAGTAACGCTAGGGATTCTTCCTAGTCCTTGAGTAGCATAGCTTCCTGGGCACCCCGCCCAAAGAATAAGAATAAACTACTTTTTATTGTAAACAAATTTATTTTTTTTATCAAAGACAAAGCTTTGTGCTGCTTCATGTAGTTTTCTACATGGTGATTCATTTCAAAATGGCCAGATAAGAATTTAGTCACTCAGGGAATATCCTTTGAGACCTTAATAGAGCATTTGGTGAAGTGTCCGGAGACTGACATTTTATTTATATTCTGCACGCCCAGCTTGTGCGCCTGCGTTTATACTTATTCTCATTGCATGTGTATCATACGGTACTCTAGATGCTAAAGTGTCAAGGCTCCTACCAATGTTTTTATGCAAAGAGTGAAAATTCACAATGACTGTACTTTGTCTCCACCATACCATAACTAGCAAACTAAGATGTTTATTCTTGCCAATGTCAGTGTTTACTCAAGGATATATCATTCCCTCTTAACAGTTACTATCACAAATGGATCGAAAAAGCAAAAAAAAAAAAAAAAAAAAGCTAGATCCAAGTTACTGGATCCCTAAGGAAACATCGGTGGCAGGTACCTGGGTGGAAGATAAATTTGGGTGGAAACTTAAATTACAACTTAGAGCTTTAAGACACCAGGCTTATAAAACTTAAGGGGCCGGTGTTCGCTGCAAGCAAGGAACCAAGCCAGCACTGCACATTCTTGACCTTCGAGCACTGTGGCCAGAAAATTTTTCTGACCAGTGCAGTTTCCCATAACCCACAAGTAACCACCGGAGCCTAAATGTCGACTCGGTATTTGTATTTACAGCTCAAATACTGAGAATTTGGTGGCTCTGAAAAGAGCCTTTGGGTTTAGGTGCAAAGACACACCCTGGGACATTTTACTTGGCGCTGGTGTACTTGGTGACAGCCTTGGTACCCTCGGACACGGCGTGCTTGGCCAGCTCCCCGGGCAGCAGCAGGCGCACGGCCGTCTGGATCTCCCGCGACGTGATGGTCGAGCGCTTGTTGTAGTGCGCCAGGCGGGACGCCTCGCCGGCGATGCGCTCGAAGATGTCGTTGACGAACGAGTTCATGATGCCCATGGCCTTGGACGAGATGCCCGTGTCGGGGTGCACCTGCTTCAGCACCTTGTACACGTACACCGAGTAGCTCTCCTTGCGGCTGCGCTTGCGCTTCTTGCCGTCCTTCTTCTGCGCCTTGGTCACGGCCTTCTTGGAGCCCTTCTTCGGGGCGGGCGCGGACTTGGCGGGTTCAGGCATGGCTAAGATTGCTGACAACGAACGAGCTCCGGAGAACAAGTCGAGTGAAAGCAAGCGGGCCCGTGTCCCTTTTATACAGAACGTCCTATGCAACCAAGGCGACGCCTTAAAACCCCTTTTGATTGGTGGTTATTCGGAGTCGCGTCATAATCTAGTCCGACCAATCAAAATGCAGGACTCCAAATGGCTCGTTCCCATTGGTCCAAGTGGAGTTTAACTCTTAGCCAATGACACATCTGCTTTTTCGCGCCGAAAAAGCTTTATAAAACTGGTCGTTTAGTTTTCTCGCTTAGCGTATTCGTGAAGCCATCATGTCTGGACGCGGCAAGCAGGGCGGCAAGGCGCGCGCTAAGGCCAAGACTCGCTCGTCGCGAGCAGGCCTGCAGTTCCCCGTGGGCCGAGTGCACCGGCTGCTGCGCAAAGGCAACTACGCCGAGCGGGTGGGCGCCGGCGCCCCGGTGTACCTGGCGGCCGTGCTCGAGTACCTGACGGCCGAGATCCTGGAGCTGGCGGGCAACGCGGCCCGCGACAACAAGAAGACGCGCATCATCCCGCGCCACCTGCAGCTGGCCATCCGCAACGACGAGGAGCTCAACAAGCTGCTGGGCAAAGTCACCATCGCGCAGGGCGGTGTCCTGCCCAACATCCAGGCCGTGCTGCTGCCCAAGAAGACCGAGAGCCACCACAAGGCTAAGTAAGGTGAGAGAGGTCAAAGATACTGGAAAACAAAGGCTCTTTTCAGAGCCACCAACTTTGCCAGAAGGAGCTGCTGCATTCAGTTTGTTCTATTGTGACCTTTGGAAATTAACGTGCTGCTTGTAGAAGCACAACGACTTCCTGAAAGGGTTTTTAACGCACAGGGCACTTCAGAAATCCACAGATGCATGTCGAAAGTACCAGGGGGAATCGTGTGGACAAGTCTCTGCAGTAAGGACTTTTTAAAATAATTTGGGGTGGGAGGTCCACGCCCGCCCGTACTCAGATTACTCTTGGCCTTGCGCTCATGGGTCCCTTCTCGAGGGTTCGGGGTACCATATGGGATGCTAGGAAGCAAGCACGGTTAGGCCCAGTTGAAGGCAAATGCCTACCCCAGCCCTAACTGTCACTTCCTAACTCAGGATCTGAGACTTCATGGAAAGTCCTTGATTCCACTTTTTGAAACAAGAATTCTCACTCTCAGATCACAGCTAGTAAACAGCCAACCTTCTGTGGAGTTACTCACTATGGGCTTAGTGGATGATTATAAACACGTGCCAGCTCTTAAGTCTTGAGACAATGGTAAGGAAAGCTTTAATATGACAGGTATTTCCACTTTAGATTGAGAATAAGCCCTAATAACCTTTAAGGTTATTTAATCATAGAAGTCTAGATAGTGAGGAAAAGGCAAATATTAAGAGTATTAAATTATGTATATACATAGGAACTAAAGAGCATAGGGTTTAAGACTTTAGTACTGAGAATTATTCAGGCCATGGGACTATGAAATGGGAGGGAGGAGTGACTATATAATTATTGGGTATATTTATATGCATGGTGTGTATCTGTATACATAGCTATACATATGCTTGAAATAACAATAGCAATCTCAAGGTATTAACTTGATACTCATGGTAGTGTTAAAAATGTCTGAATAAGTGTAGTACACCACTCCAACTGACTTTTTGGGTTTTTTTGTTTGTTTTTTTTTTAAATTTGAACTACCATGGACTTTCTTAAACAGTTGAATGAGAAAGTAGCACTCAATTCCTTCAAGTAGAAAAATGCCCAGCAAGACACCATGAAAAGTACTGACCTGAGATCAGAAGGAGAGTGCAGAGCGTGGGGTTCTTGCCTTGCACGTGGCTGACCTTTAAATCCATATGGCCCCTTGAGCACTGCTAGGAGTGATCCCTGAGCACAGCCCCTTATGCATCTCTGGGTGTGACTAGAAACAGAAAAAATTAGTATTGGCCTTATGTGATTCACAATCTGAAAGATTTAAAAGAACATACATAGTGTGTAATTTGGTATACAAATTTAACTTGCTAATTTTCACAGAAGCTTGTTGAATAAAGTGAGTTAAATGCAAGTGACCAGGCTCATGTCCTGCCCGAGCACACATGCCATCTGTGCACATGTGAGATGCCAGCCCACGCACGTGGTGCCTGAGCATATGTCATGCTCATCACCCCTCTTGAGATGTGTACTTTCATATTTATTGCTGGGAAATGTACTGATTTGTACTGGGGCTCTTACTCCCCTTCCTCAAAAACCTACAAATAAAAATTGTTTCCATTTAAAAAAAAAAAAGCACCGAGGAGAGGGGGCAAAATACAGAGAAAGATTAATGAGATGGTGTTTTGGGTGCACAGTGTTTATTAGAAACCAGTATCTGAGGGCTGGAGCAATAGCACAGCAGGTAGGGTGTTTGCCTTGCACGCGGCCGACTGGGTTCGATTCCCAGCATTCCATATGGTTCCCTGAGCACTGCCAGGAATGATTCCTGAGTGCAGAGCCAGAAGTAATCCCTGTGCATCGCCAGGTATGACCCAAAAAGGAAAAAACAGAAAGAAAGAAAGAAAGAAAGAAAGAAAGAAAGAAAGAAAGAAAGAAAGCAAGCAAGCAAGCAGTATCTGAGAAGAAAAGGAACTAGAATTGTGGGAGTCAAAAATTATGGGTGCGTGATTCGTGCGTTCTGTGGCCAAGAGCCACCTTCCCACCCTGACCGGCCAAAGGTGATGGACACAAGAAGGTGAGAACAGGGGCCACCAGTCGCAGTTTATTCCAGTCTTCCCCCCATTCCAGTCTCACAGCCTTAGTTATAAAGAAAATCCTCTGGAGTTGGGGGTAGCAATTACACACAGTGTGGTTGTACAATCAATAAATTTGTAAAACCCTTCCGTCCGGGGGAAGCTTCTTCTAGAATCTCATCCTGCTAGAAGATCTGCCCAAGGGCAGAATCCCGTATAAGGTGTATTACTTCCCCCTTTCCTTAGCCAGTGTCCACTTAAACAATCATCTTAAATTTACTTCTTAATAATCTTTATGACACAGTTAAGAGATATATTAAACCTAATATATGTATATGACACAGTTAAGAGATATATTAAACTTAAAAGTGTGACACAGTTAAGAGATATATTAAACTTAGAGGGTGGCTCTCCTAGAGACATCTCACTATATATTCCAAACTACAGTCCTTAAGCCAGGTTAATCTTTCCTAACCCCAGTGGGGTCTTTATCCAGTTACTTCTTTTTGGGTCATGACAGAGTTTGTCCATGACTATGCTCTTAATTTATTATATATTTTATGGCGCTTGGCCGGTCCCTTTCCAATGGCAGATTAGTTTACAGCTTGTTCCTTTGTGATGTCTGGGTAGCTATAGGCTTGCCCTGGGTCCATCCAAGTCCCTCACTGGACCCTCCTTTTGGGGTGTTAGGAACTAAGGGCAACTGAGGCTTAGTTGGGTAAATATGACAGATGTCCAGGAGTAAATATTATTCGGAATCAATTAACTCCCAAACTACAAAAGTACAGCATTAACTGTCTTCCTGTGTCTATACAAAAAGGACATTGCTCTGAACTAGGCAAAGGACATAAAGGAAAGAGAAAAGCAATATTTCACTTGCATTGACAAAATCACAGGGTCTGATTTGGGGATATAGTGATAAACAGATAGGGAAAGAGGAGCACAAAGGAGAAGTTAAAATAAACACAGAGTAATAGGAGTGCCTCGGAAGCATTGTGGTGGGAGTAACACAAATTTAAGCTCCCTGTGACAAGGAAGAAAGGACAAGCCTATGTTATCCAAGAGAACTGGACAGAGGAGGTTGTCAAGTGAAACAGGCCTAACGTGGGGAGCCTATCAGAGCTATCCCCCATTGTATTGTCCTTGAACTGCTCTTAATATCACAGGATGTAAGTCACCCCAGGGAAGGAAATGACCTTGAGTGGAGAGAAATACACTTTTAGCTGGTCTTGCTTTACTTTCAGAATTCAAAGGAATAGATAAATCTAGAGACTCAGAAAATCTACCATAGTGACTTTGAGCACCTTGGCCTGTCAAGCAAATGGTAATGAGGCCAAATCCCCAGGGTCTCACATGTGCTTCTTATGATCCCTGACTCTGCAAGCGATTTCCTGGTGCAGTGCAGTCAGGTGTGTGGAAGAACCACAAAAAGGGGTGTAGCCCTGAGTACCAACAACTAAACTGATGTGCTGTGTCACCATCAGGAAGGGCAACATTTGGCAAGCCCATGTATGAGCACCCTCAGTAATTAAGAGCATGTGTGCAAGCATCTCAACTATAGAGGAGCAAACCCAGTGAGCACTGTAGCTGAGTACTGAGCAACTTCCACCGAGGACTGCAATTGAAAATGTTGTGTGAACCCCAACATCCAAACCAAAGAAGAAAAGATCAATTCAAAACTCTACTAACTTAAATACTCTTGTAAGAGTGCCAGTGTCTCAAACACAGCAAGTGGAAGGTGGAACAAAGCGATCATAAGGAGGGTTAAAGAGAGACCACAGCGAGGAAGGCACCTGCTTTGCCCTATAGGGCCCCCCACCCCCGCCAGGGTCCTCGATTACTGAACAGAGAGCCAAGAGTAAACCCTAAGCACCCGGGCTGGAGTGATAGCACAGCGGGTAGGGCTTTGGCCTTGCACGCGACTGACCTGGGTTTGATTCCCAGCATCCCATATGGTCCCCCGGGCACCGCCCAGAGTAATTCCTGAGTGCATGAGCCAGGAGTAACCCCTGTGCATTTTGGGTGTGACCCAAAAAGAAAAAAATGAAAAAAAAAAAAACCCTGAGCACCACCAGGTACAGTCCCAATGCAAAGCACTTTTTAAAAATTAAACATAGGGACTAGAGCGATAGCACAGCGGGTAGGGTGTTTGCCTTGCACACGGCCAACCTGGGTTTGATTCCCATACGGTACCCTGAGCACCGCCAGGAGTAATTCCTGAGTGCAGAGCCAGGAGTAACCCCTGAGCATCAGAGCCAGGAGTAACGCCGGGTGTGACCCAAAAGCAAAAAAAAAAAAAAATTCTAAGAGTAGCAAGAGAGATAACAGAGCAGGCAGGTAGAGTTTTCCAAGCAGCCGATTGTGGTTTGATCCCCGGCATCCCATCTGGTACTCCATGTCCACAAGGAGTAATTCCTAAGTGAAGAACCAGGAGTGACCCGTGAGCATGACTGCGTGTGGCCCTCCCAAATAAATAATCATAAAATAATCATTAAAAATATGAGAGTATCTTCCACTGTTCTTCTCTTCCAGATCCAGGAAATTACTTTACTTGCATATTAAGTTAAATACTTACATACTTTACTTTATATTAAATAATAATTACTTAACATATGTATTGTTTTACTGCATTGGGAAATCATCACCTTTGCACAAAAAGCTTCAGGATTGATAGTGGAGCCCCAAAGAAGAGAGAGTGAGTTTTTAAGTGCGGGGAGCTGCCTGCTTATGCAGAGTCCTTAAGTGGACCTAGCTCTGGAAGCTGCCTCATTCAGAGGGCCAAGTACTTGGCCACCTCTGATACGTGGAGTAGTCATTATCTAATACTACTAGTCATTATGTCGCTAACTCAAGCCTACATCCTCAGTTTGCAAGAAAAGTTAATAAGAAATGGATGCATTGTGATTTTGTGGCATATGCAGGAAATAACACCTTGGTAAATCATGAAAAGTACACAGGAAGGGTCAGAGTGTTTTCCAGTGTACTTTGCTATTATTTTTACCTTGTTCTTATTTCCTGTTACTGACCTAAGTAACATTGTTTTCATTATATTATGCTTCCTGTGTTTGTTATGATCAAAGAAAGGTATGATCTGGGGACGATGTCTTTTTGCAATTACAATGGATGACTTTGCCTGCCAAGTTCCTGATAGAGGCTGTCTGAAATAAAGATCAATGCTGCTGTTCCACGAGAACTCAGCCCTCTCAACCACTTGTATATAGTTTCTTTGATGCTCACCTTCCCTCTCTACCCGACCAGCATTTAAGTAAACACGATGCTTTCCCTTTGGGGCCTTGGTCCCTCCCCTCTGACTGGATGTTTCAACCCTCCCTGTGATCATTTCAAGAAGTCTCTGCTTTCTGGGCAGCTCAGGGAAAGCATGCTCTACAAATTCAACTTGCATATCTATTTGTATATCTTGGCAGATTAAACTTTTAAACATGATGTAAAGAAGAAAAGTGTTGGTGGCGGGTGTGTGTTGGGGTTGCCTAGGACTGAAAGAAAAATGCCCATTCCTAGATCCCCTAGATTTCTGCTCTCCCCCCCTTTTTGGGTCACACCCAGCGATGCACAGGTGTTACTCCTGACCCTTCACTCAGGAATTACTCCTGGTGGTGCTCAGGGGACCATATGGGATGCTGGGAATCGAACCCTGATCGGCCGCGTACAAGGCAAATGCCCCACCAGCTGTGCTATCTCTCCAGCCCCTAGATTTCGGCTCTTATATTTTTATGTCACAGAAGAGAATTTCTGGAAAAGAAAGTCATTTTATTAAGGAAATAGGAGAGAAGAGAAAGAAACCTGTGAAAATACAAGAAAGGAATTACAGACATAATAAAGTTGGGGAGTGGGAGATTCCAGAGAGACCACACTTAAAGGGGAGAAGTTATAGAGCCTGTGGGCAACTCCAAATGCACAGTGATTTCCCTGCAAAGGTGATTTTTGTCTCTTCCTGGAGTTGCCTTCGGTCACTGCTAGGGAGTTTCAAAGGGTAAAGCTTTTGGTCTTGGGGTTCTCTTTCCTCAGTCTACTCAGGCATTATTCCTGGCCATCCATGATCTCTAGGCAGGGTCTGCTTCTCACCCCGAGACAGCAGCTGGGCACTCCTTTTTAGAGTACATCTCGTCTCTCAAATGTATTTTGATTTTAAGACTGTCTGAGTCAGCTACCTGAAATCTAGTGAACCATAAAAGAAAGGAAAACACGGAAAAGCAATTCCATACAGACCATGTATAAAAAGTGAATATATTTATTTAATTCTTCCAGCTTAGAAAAGAAATGCCATGGACCAAATACTGTGGTCTGTGCCCTTCCCGGCATCATGTATTAAAATCATAACTCCCAGCAGGATTTGGAGTTGGGGCCTTGGAAGGTAATTTGTTTTTCAATGAGGTAGGTTTGGTAGAATCATATAAGATTTGTGCTGTCCTCAGAAAGAAACCAGAGACTTACCGCCTACCTCTCTTCAGGAAAGACAATTGAGCCTGGAGCACCCAATAGGATAGCGGTGCCCTTTTTTTATTTTTTTTCCCCCTTTTCTCAATAGGCCTAAACTGGTCTCTTTGACTAAATGTCACCTAGTTATAGGGAACTAAGGTCAAAGAAAAAGAAGTCCAGTGGCATTTGATGGGATTCATTGAGCTCCCATTTGACCCAGCAATACCACTCCTGGGAATATATCCCAGAGAGGCAAAAAAGTATAGTCGAAGTGACATCTACACTTGCTTATTCATTGCAGCACTCTTTACAATAGCCAGAATCTGGAAAAAACCTAGGTGCCCGAGAACAGATAACTGGTTAAAGAAACTTTGGTACATCTACACAATGGAGAACTATGCAGCTGTTAGAAAAGATGAAGTCAAGAAATTTACGTACAAGTGGTACTACTTGGAAAGTATCATGCTAAGTGAAATGAGTCAAAAAGAGAGGGACAGACATAGAAAGACTGCATTCATCTGAGGAACATAAAGTAACAAAATAAGAGACTAACACCCAAGAATAGCCGAGATACGAACCAGAAAGTTCACTCCATGGCTTGGAGGCCAGCCGCATATGCTAGGGGAAAAGGCAGCTCAGATAGAGAAGGGAGCACCAAATAAAGGGTGTTAGGAGGATCCTCCCAGGATGAGAGATGCATGCTGAAAGTAGACTATAGGCCGCTCAATGCCTCTTTTGCAAACCACAACACCCAAAAGGAGAGTGAGAACAAAAGGGAATGCCCTGCCACCGAGGCAGGGGGGGATGAAGGGTGCGGGGTGTGAGGGATACTGGAATTAGTGGTGGTGGAGAATGAGCACTGATGGAGGGATGGGTACTTGATCCTTGTATAACTGAAACCCAAGCACAAAAATTTGTAAGTCTACAACAGTACCTCACAGTGTTTCACTAATAAAAATTAAAAATAAATAAATGAATAAATAAAAGTCGGAGGCAACCGGCACATATGCTGCCCGAGCCCATGTGCTGCTTGCACCCATGTGACCAAGCACATGTGGTGGCTGAGCACATGTGTCGCCCATCTCCCCTCTTGAGATGTGTACTTCATGCTTTTGCGTCTAATGCTGGTGTGTGTGTGTGTGTAGGGCTCTCTCCGCCCTTGGAGAAGCCCGTGTTCTCTCTTGAGCACGTTACTCTCTCTCACTCTTACCCCCTTCACACCTTAAAAATCCTCCAAATAAAATGTTTATTTTAAAAAAAAAAAAGTAGGAGGCAACCAACCTTAAAGGGAACTATTATGTTATTTCGGTTCTGCTTCGGGGCAGGGATTGGGGTTCGGGATGGAAACACCCAAAATATGGAGGTGGAAAGGTGTAATGGTGGTGGGATTGGTGTTTGAATATTAAATATAACCAAATATTGTGAACTACTTTATAAATTTTTTTTTTTGCTTTTTGGGGTCACACCTGGCGATGCACAGGGGTTACTCCTGGCTCTCCACTCAGGAGTTACTCCTGGCGGTGCTCAGGGAACCATATGGGATGCTGGGAATCGAACCCGGGTCGGCCGCGTGCAAGGCAAACGCCCTACCCACTGTGCTATTTCTCCAGCCCCTACTTTATAAAATTTTTTAAAAATTTAAAAAATAAAAATAAGTCCAGTGGCTTCAGTCACCAGAACTTTGGAAGAGGGATGGTTTTTAACAGCAGAGAAGGGCAGAAAAAAGATGGGAAAGCCTCCTTAAGTGTTAACTGCCGTGACTCGGATTCGAACCGAGGTTGCTGCGGCCACAACGCAGAGTACTAACCACTATACGATCACGGCGCGCCACTGAGAGACACCTGAGCCCGGTTCTCTGTTCTCTTCTCAGGAATACCGACTGCTGGCTCCTGGCTCTGTTCTCCACCCCCATCCCCCGCCGTTGACTTCCAGCAAATAAACTAAAGAGCACAACCACCTTCGGCTTTCCCCAACCCGAAGGCTACTCCCGAGGGTGGGTAACAAGTGAGAGCTCCCTGGGTGACTTCCTGCACCCGCGCGGTGCCCCATACGCCTGGGCCAACCAACCCAGATCCAAATCCCAGGTACCACATCGCGACCCTAAGCACAGCCTGAGCAACAGAGCCAGAACTAAGCCCTGAGCACCGGAAATGCCTCTTATGCAAACACACAAGGAGGTTTCAACGGGAAGGTGAATATCAGATTTAGAGTCTGGGATCCCAGATCTTTGCTGAAACTCCAGACAAACAGCTACACCCGGATAAAATCACCCCAGGATCAGAGGAGATGGAGGAATAAAGCACAAGGACCAGAGGAAGTGCGAACAGAACAGTAAGAGAGACTCAGGTGAAGGCAAATGAAATGGGTCCAGAAAACCAAGCCTTACAAATTTGGGGGGATGGGGGAGTGGGAGGGATATTGGGATCCGTGGTGGTGGGAAATGGGCACTGGTGGAGGGATTTGTAAGTCTACAACTGTACCTCATGATGTCTCACTAATAAAAAATTTTTAAAAAGTAAGCTATTAATAATAAAAATCTTTATATATTTTGCTTTCTCATAACATTTAATGAATAAGTCAACACAAAAATTGATAAATACAATAAAGATGTTTGGATGTCACATGCTTTACATAAAGTCTTCCTTTAATTTAAAAATTAAGTATTTTCACCAAAAAAAAAGCCTTAAGTTTCCAGATGAAGAAATGTCTCTCTGAGGAGGGAGTCACCAACTGTGTCAAGCTGAAATAAATAAGAGCAATGAACTGAAAGAAATGTTTGATGACACTGAAGAAATCTAACTATAAACTGGAAAACAGGATAAAATCAAAGCTTCTCTGATGTGAGGAAAGATTCTACTTATATAGGAAAGTTTTTTGTCTTTGTTTTTTTTTTTTTTTGGGGGGGGGGGTTGTCCCACACCTAGTAGTGCTCAGGGATTATTCATGAAGGGTTTCCAGCGGGGCCAATATGGGATACTGGGATACTCCATCAGGTGCTAGGCAAGCACCCACCCGCTGTACGACTGATGAGCCTTAATAAATAAACAAACAAACAAACAAATAAAAAGAATCACAGGCAACATTCTCAGAGAGATAAAAAAGATAAAATTTCTTTTGGTAAACTCGTTTAAAACTTTCAATTCTCAGCTAACAAACACAAGAAGCCTTTCCCCAAGCCTGTGCTCCCAGAAGCCTGCTGCTCACTGAAAGGAAAGAAGAAAAAGTCAGTAGGCAAAGTGTCCCGAGAAGAAAGAAGCCTGGGAAAACTAACCAGAAACACAGAGCAGAGAAGATCAAATTTGACCTGGAGGGGGGAAGAAAGTGGAGGTGCAGGGAGAGGAAGGAATCCAGAAAACTCCCCCTGGGGAGATGGAAGATGCCCCTGAGCTGCATCCTGGAGCCAAGGGCACCTGCCCGACCTGGCTGGACAGGGCTTGGTGGCAGAGACCCACGGGCGGGTGCGGGGTGGGGTCACCCCAGAAGCTCCTTCTCCGCTGCCCCTTTGGCCAGCCGGGGTAGGTAAGGGAGACAGACGCTTTGGGGACGCCTGATCTGGAAACGGGGCACCCACCCCGTTATTCAGAGCCTGGTGCGCTCTCAACTGGCCCTTTGGGGAGCCAGTCGTTGACAGTTTGGAAATCGGCCCGGGAAGTTGCAACTGGTGGCGCTGCGGCGTTTGGGGTCGCAAGCGTTTGGGGTCCCGACCCCAGGGGGAGAGAAAAGGGGGAGAACCGAGAAGTGGAGCCGCAGAGACGCCCCCACCAGCCCCCAAATCTCGCCTGCCTGTCGCCGTCCCCCTCCCGCGCTGGCCACACTGGTCAGCCCCTCGGCAGCTGTCCCGGGCCCTGGAGTCGCGGCTTGCAAGCTGAGATTGAAGGCGAAGCCCCCCACCCCTCCCGATCCCTCTCCCCTGTAGCCCACCGCACCATCCAGTACCCTTAGCCCCACCCAGGGCCCGCGGCCCCGGGTCAATTTCACGTGGTTCGTCAATTTCGTTCCCCGCGGCTGCGGCGCGCGGTGACACTGCCCCCTCCTCCTTTCCCAGACCCCCAGCTCGCCAAGGTGGGGTCTAGGTTCGAGGGGCCCTGCTGCTTCTCCAGGGTCTGTGGGTCCGAGCCCTACTCGCTCAGGTGCGGGGTTCCACGCCAGACCACCCCCTCCCACGCCGGGATTCCCCCAGGGCCGCACGGAGGGTCGCTGGCAAGTCCCCCTGCACTGAGTTCTGGAGCCCCCAGACCCGCGGGGCGCGTGCTGAGAAGTGGGCTCGTGAGTGCCCCCGAGTTTCCCAGCCCCCCAGGAGTAGCCTCCGGGTTGGGGACAGTCCGGGCAGTGGAACTTCACTTCTGTTGGTCCTCTCTGGTTTCTTTGCTGGACGTCAACCCTTGCGGGTGGCGGGACTGACTAGAGCAGTGACCTGGGGAGCCCTTAGGGAGTTCTCCTGCGGCCAAGAAGCAGTCGCTGTTCCTGAGAAGGGAACAGAGTCCAGGTGACAACGCAGGTGACTCCTGGTGGCGCGCCGTGATCGTATAGTGGTTAGTACTCTGCGTTGTGGCCGCAGCAACCTCGGTTCGAATCCGAGTCACGGCAGGGAGTTGCCGCTGGGGTGTCGTACCCAAACCTTTTCGAACCCACCAATGCTCTGATCTCCTCTTGACCGCCCTCCCAGGAACACACTCTCTTCCAGTAGCTAGCCAACCCCAACCCCGGAGTACCTCTGCTTTGGTATTTTCTCTCTTCCCAGCCAAAACTTGTTTGCTTCTTTTCCCAGCCAAACCTAAGTGCAACATCCTGTTGGCATGTGACCAGAAGCCAGGAGGGAGAAACTGAAATTTTAAGAAAAGGAAAATTTTTCCATTTGGACACAAGAAAATGATTGCAGATGGCAGATGCAGGCATCTTGTGACAACCTTTGCCTGTCCACAGAGGACTCATTCAGGATGTTTCCATGTTTTGAGGAACCCTATAAACTAATAATTTGGGGGAAAGTCGAGGGACATCTGGAGGGGCAGGTCAAGACTGGCACTGTGTTTGCACCATGAGTTAGACGGAGAAAGAGGGAGGGACCAGGCCATGAGATGGGGGAGAAGCTAAAACTAATGTTACAGATTATAATTATAGTTCACTTATTAAATGAATTATAATCCATTTATTATATATTGCTTTCCTATGTCTTTCACATATTTTTTTAGCAGCTGATTAGGAGTTTCATCCTGAAGCTTGCTTGCTTTTGCTTCAGGGGGCTAAAATCACCTCCCTTCCCTCTCCTGTTGTGTCCTAGACATGGAACCGGAAACGGCCACTAACAGAACTTTGGAGACAGGATAAGATGTCTTCTGCTTCCGCTGTCCTGGGTCCAGTCTGCACTTGGGGTGAGGCTGTTCCCACAGATCTAAGCTCCTCAGGGCAGGCTTCCCTGTGCGTTTGTATCACTCACCTCCTCCCTTTTCTCTTCCTCTCCATGGGCGGCATCAGGGATCAAGGATGCGTTGCCTGGAAAGTCCAGCTCCTCTCAACTCTTCTGCCATCGCTATTTGAGAAAACTTAAATTTCCAACACTAATGTACAGAAACAAATTACAGCACTGAAAACATCTTTGCTTTTATTGAAGGCTGGAGAGATAGGACAGCAGGAAGGTGCTTGCCTTGCATGCAACTTACCGCGCTTGGATCTCCAGCACCACATGTAGTCCTGAGCACAGAGCCAGGACAAAGCCCTGAGCACAGTTGGGTGAGGCCTAACTCTCCCACTCCCCAGTTTTTTAAATGAAAATTTCATCCTTTTCATAAAATAATGCACAACACATAACTTCAACCTTTTCAAGTGTCCCTATCGAATTCATCAGTATACATACCCAGGTGCACAGTTCTTGGTGTCTGTCTTTGTTTGATGCAGTTTCCTATGTTTTTCATACGTAGATTTTTAAAAAAGAAACACATCTGTCATCTGCAACAGCAAAATAACAACTTGCTCAGTGATGATATAATTTGTTTTCCCCTGTTATTAGGCACTTGAGCTTATTTCCAATTTCTTTCTGGTGACAAAATCTTAACTGTGCAGTTCTCTGGAACACATTTTCTCCTGTTGATACTCACCTGAATGCAGAAACCTATGGATGTTGGCCCGGAGGCTGACTGGAAACTCGTGGATGATGGCCAGAAGGCAGGCTGGTTCTTAGGAAGTGGGTGAGACTCGAGGTCTTTGATGTGTCCACAGTGGTCCTCTGGTCTAAGAGAATCTATAGTCAATCTGTGATATACTTCAAAAGGAGAGAACTTGCTTGTCTTGTACCATATGGTGCTTGGCACCGAGTGCATGTTCTTACCAGCTCTATCGCCATCTCTGACCACAATACCACACAGATTTGGGTGACAGCTCTTATAAATCTGGTTTAACTAAACTGACGACTTCAGAGTTCCCAGGTTCACATTTTGGCGATGATATTCTTTTATGAATGAGTGAACACTGACCTAACACCATTTTTTAAGCCTCATGTAAAAATATATCTTTATCTTACTGATCAATATTACCTCCCACCTCTGAGAATAGTAATATCGGTAGAAAGCATTGCTATCTCTGTGCAGTTTTCATCCCTCAAGATGCTGTTTCCGGTTTGATTGGGTTTGCTTTCCCAACCCTTAGGTATGAGAATATTCGAGATAAATGAGGATTCTGACTTTCCACTCAGAGCTGAGGGCAGGATGCTGCCCTGTTGATTGGATCCTGGGGGACTGTCCATGCAACTTGTTTATTGGGATGGACAGGGAGAAGGCTCGCTCCTGCTTTCAGTCCACAATGGAACCATCAAATGGTTCATCTGTCACCTAGCCAGATACATCCTGCCTTATCCTCTTTGAAGGAGAAACCTGTCGCCTAACTTCCCTTTCTGGAAGCAAGGGAGGGTGAGGGCCCCCGCGCCCCGCCGCCCCACCCTCCTGGGGGACCCGCCTCCGTCCCCACCAGCCCTAGAGTCGGATCCCTAAGCCTCGACCCCACCCCAGCTCCGCTCTGCGCAGTTTCAAACTTCTGAGAAGTTTTAGGATTAGGGTCTCGCGCTTCGGCTGAGAAACGGTTCCCTAGCTCCAGGCCCTCGGGATTCCCCGCGATCTCAGAGCAGAACAGGATTAACCCCTACTGCTCCACTGTGCTCCTGCAGTGTGTGAGAGTGAATCAATCTCCCAAAGAAAAGCCGGGGAGTAGCAGCAATTATTTTGCCATTTTCACTTTCAAAAATAGATAGGTAGGCTAACAATAAGCTCTCCCAAAACGAACATTTTCCCGGCTCTGCTTGACTTCGAAAGAGAAAAGTGGTAAAACGCTGTTACTACTGGTTCCACTGGGGATCGAACCCAGGACCTTCTGCGTGTAAAGCAGACG